AAAGGACAGAGAAACATACGAATAATAGCTTACAAAAGGTACCAGGTTTAAAGTTTCGTCCACACAAGACTAACCAGTGACGCTCAGATAAAAAAAGTATGAAAGCCAAAACAAGTACAAAGTTGAAGAGCATTGAGGACCAAAAGTTCCAAAAAGTTGTGCCAAATACGGCTAAGGTTATATGTCTGAGATAAGAAAATCCTTAGTATTTAGAATAATTCATACTTTTGCAAACAGTAAATTTATAAAAATGACTATATAATAGATATACATCATAACACCGAAGTGGTGACTAACTACAGAATAAAAACGGATACATAAAACAACATAAAAGTTCTTTTACCTTCTGAAATATAAAGCTTTATACAAATAAATTAAGCCGACCCTGTCACCTGATAGTAATCCCTATGTCTCACATTCTGCGACTTTCATCACAAGCGAGACAAAATTGATGAACAAATAAGTTTCATTTTCAAAATTTGTTTTATTGTTAACAATATCAATACATGTTTTATTTCCTATGGGAAAATGATATCGCGACTAGTACAGCAAGTTTTAACAGAAAATAATGCACACATACATTTGTGTGGTATAAAATACACATTTTAAATATTTACAATTATCTTCTTACTAACAAATGAACAAAGGTAGATAACTACTTATGTATTACTTTGACATGTATTTCACATTCATAACATTCATAAAAGAGATCTCTAACAGTAAAATCTATGTATATATAGGTCTATGGCAGAATCTTTGGATGTTTTTTTTCACTTGAAAATTTCACTGAATGATCTTTTAGTAATCAAAAAATCTGAACATGTGTGATATTTTCATTATCAAATGCAACTCAAGACAGAAATATTAGGAGAGATAACTGCGCATCATATAATCATGTAGTTTATTATCATCCTGTACAAAGCCTTTCACAAATCTAAGAGACAAGATTATTTGTTTTTTATAGTCATTTAGAACTGCCAAAAAAGAAATTGCATGGTTAAATTGTCAGTGAGTTTATATTCATGTTTTTTATATAAAAGGATATTCTCCGATTCTTACTTTGGTTGATAAATAAAGGGAATCACTTTGGACTTAAGTGGTTAAAAATATAGAGGGAATTGCCTAAAAGTTCTTTTAATGTTGTGGTCACCTTAAAATTTAAAATAAAATTTCATAAATTTGGTGTCTGAAAGGCATTTCTGGATTAACCTACATCACGAACGCTCAAACCTAAAATTCTTAAGGTGTAGGACCTCATTGGGTTCAATCTTTGCAAGGTTAAACAAAACTAATGTGGTTCTTTCGTCTGCAACGCAAAGCATTCTGCGTTTAGGATAACTGATCTACAACACAACACATTCTGCATGTAGGAGTATTCAAGCTGAAAGACTGGTTGTGCAGGCATCAGGATATTGTGCTATGCACACTTTTTGCACTCCTGGAGAAATTGTTACTAAAAACATAGCCTTAGTTACAACATCATGAGTAGCAAAATTAATCTTCTTGAAAATGGAGATACTTCAATAAACTTATAAATCACACACAAAATCAAAACTTTTGACATTTCCATTAAAATTTAATTGGAAAATATTTATAAAATACAAACATTTTCTACTAAAAACCCTTTCTTTTTCAAAAGTATTTCTAGTCCAATATCACAAAAAAAAAATGCAGAAGTTAATACAATTTTTTTTGCTAATCTTATAAAATGATTAAATCATTAATGATTAAATATTATGAAAAATAACGTTATATATTAGACAGTGATTCAACATTGTTAATATATACTAGCTACATTTCATAGTTTATAAATAAAAACTTTAAATAAATCAACAACAAAAAATAACAAAACTTAGGCTATGCAAAATCAATTCTATGGTTCTCTAATAAAGAGTCTTTGACAGGTGGGTATTTATCTTAAGAATTTTTTTGAGGAATTTTATTTGGTTGAGATTAATATGAAACCTATCATAATTTTTTTTTATCTCTATAGAAACCAGTTTTTTTGAGAATGAAGAGTTCTATTGTAATAACATTATCCATTCAAGAACCAGGTGGTGCTATTAACAAATTTCAAGTTTCTATACTTAAATATGACAGACTTAATTTTAGGATAGTCAACCTAATTACTTTTAAAAAACAATCACTTTTGATCTGTTAAATTAAATTCTTTCTGTTCTGACAATAAAACATTATTGGACAATTTTTAGGTTTTATTCTTTAATTTCCTAAAATGACAAACTCAAATTTTTAAATGCTTATATCCTATAACTTACACAAAAAAGATCTGAAGAAAATATGTTTTGAACTTGAAAAAGAGATTCGAGGATAGAAGTTGCTGTTACATTGATATTTAGAGCTCATCTGGACTTGCTTAAACAATTTGGAGTTATCTCCCCTCATCCACCTTATGGAAATGCAAATAAAGAAAGATAGATTTTGATAAAAAAAATTATAAATATTAGACACAAGCCATGGTAGTCAGTATACAAGAACCAACTGTATTTTTTAAATGGCCTAAATTGAACAACCCTCTACCATTTCATAAACATCTGCATGAAAAAACAAAATTATAGTCAACTATATTTACAAGATATGTATAAAAACATGATCATACATCAATATCAGTTAATACAAAATGAATTTATAAAGTCTGTGACCATAATGTTGGCACGTTTGATCAAGTCACTTTTTATATATAAATCCATATTACTTCAAACTGTTCTGCTTTAAATGGTTATGAATATTAAAGAAACAAAATTGACTCCAGACTCCAGAACTTTTTAAAATAGTGATTAAATATGCAACATAAAGTGAATTTATAATCGAATGTGCCAACACTTTTAACAATCTACTATACCATGCACTTCTATGAAATAACTAATAAGTGAAAAAAACTACACAGTGGATTTCAGCTAATTCAATATTGCACATTTAAAAAATTCATTATTGCACTATTTCAAGCAGTAAAACTATACATAAATCTTATCAATTTAATATCATCATTAGGATTTCATTTTAACAAACATTAGTTAATGACATCATCATCACGATTTCAGTTGAACAAAGACTAGTTTGATCTTTAAACACATAAACCAATTAAATATGAATTTAATCAACATGCACGATTCCAATGGTTATCTCTCTATCAGTGTATTTAATTTTAGATGATGTAATATTACATCATTCATGCATCTATTGGGCATAAAATCTATGACAGTATGTTGAGTAAAGGGATGAGTCTCTTTATTGGGATAATTTCCATATCTGCTTAGATAAATTGAAAAAATTTCTATTTCTGTAGGGTCGAATAATGTACAACACAATTACCTTGTCAGTTCAAGGATGCACCAGGGATCCAGTTTGCAACAAAAAATATTTTCATGACGAAAAAAATCAATCTATATTTAGAGTTTTTCTGGTAATTGAAATGATATGAATTAAGACTATTGACATGGGTGAAAGAGTACTTCTCAATAAGTAACAGTTTTTGCCATTATATTAAGTATACCTAAATTTTTGTAAAATAATCTGCTATATTTATTATACCAGTATATAATAATAGCTTCTATCCAAATAATTATTAATAACATGCAATTTAATTCCATAATTACTTAAGACATTTCAAATGGGATTATGCTAATTATTCTTGGCAAGATTACCTCCCTTGTCAGTCTTGTTTGACAATAATATTTTTTTATGTGAAAATTAAATGTAAACATCAGTATTATCTGGGACCTATATATAAATGTATTAGTTCTACAATACATACATTTTTTTAATATTTGCACAGTAAATGTGTTCTAAGAGTTCAGTTTGAGACTGCCATTTTTTAATTGAAGAACTGTGCAAAAAATTGAGATTCCTACCTACAGAATGAGGTGTCATATGTATTTGCAGGTTAGGTTGAATTTCCATTTGTCCTGCAGATCTCCAGAATTAATTGTTGTCCATTAATGTTTGGTCTGGCATTAAATATTTATATTCTGTTGACAAAGTATTTTTGTATGTGTACATTCACTGGTGATTATTAGACAGTATCGAACGTCTTATTGTATTACGTTCAATTTCATGTCAGGTTTGATTAAGTGAAATCCAATGTGTCTCAGACTGAGAAACATATAATGTCCCCAGTTCTAACATAAGTAATAATTAGTCTACCAAAATTTGACCAAAAAACAACTTTAAAGACCATTCAAAAAATGAAAAATGTGGTAAAGAAAGCATTCAAGAACAGATAGAAAATAAAAACTCATCTGCTTTTATTTTAATGCAAAATTGAAGATTAAATGTGTTCAATATAACAATAAGGAGATGTTGAATGGTTGCCTTGGGGACAACTATCCACCAGAGTGCAGATGAGGAAGATAAAAGCTGTTATAGGTCTATTATCAAAATTGCCCTAAAACACTTATAAATCTAATTAATTAATCCACATGTTGTACATAATTTATTTTAGGCCAATGTAATGTTTCATAGTAAGAAAAAGTGGAATTGAGTTAAATCCTCAAAAAATATTGTTACTAGATATATGGTGTTTCTGTGTTTCTAAAGTGTTGCCATTGTCTTTGCTAATGTCATGTTGTTTGCTTTGCATAGAAATATCAAGTCTTTTTAAAATAATCATGTGGTCAATTATGCTTTGTATACCTGCAGGATGGAAAGTATAACTGTTAACCATTCATTTTTGTATGTGATCTATTTCAAGGAGTAGAAAAATAACACAAATACATGAAACTTGTATCTTCTCTAATAAGGAAACATCCATAACACATCACAATATATATTGCAGTGAAATTGTCTTGAGAGGGATGTATATGAAAAAAATATCAGCAAAAATAAGTCTTAAAAACAGTAACCTTTTAACTTACTGTAAAATCAGAAATTAATGCATGCATTTATTATTGCAATTACGACACCACTCACAAAAATGCGAAATATAATATTTGTGAGTGGTGTCGTAATTGCAATAATAAATGCATGCATTAATTTCTGATTTTACAGTAAGTTAAAAGGTTACTGTAATAATGTGATTGCAAAAATTTAATGAAGGAAAAGCACTAGTGAAATTATGAATGAGAGTTTTTATTTTTTGCAAACCTGATACTGTCGCATTGTTCGCATTAATAAAAACATTGCATTAATTTCAGAATTTACAATATCATAAGAATGCTTTTCAAAGGGATCATTTAACTACAGCACATTTCAAAGATTTTAAATACCAAATTTAAAACAAGTACTTTTTGTCAAACAATTGGGGGGAGAAAAATTTAAATGGATTTTATACTATGGGAATTCCAAATTCTTTACTAATCCATGGTGACTAAAAAAATTTCAGTTTATATGTGATTATAACACATTTGCCATTATTTTTTTCTGAATAATGAGAATGACTGAAGTCCTAAAAATTCCTCTACATAGAACATTTGAAAGCTCCATATTTCTATGACAACATAGATATATATAGTGGAAGTACACTTGGCAAACATTTGGCTGACCAATCAAACTCAGGAATGTTAGAGTAACTTGTATCACCAAATAATTATGTCGTTTCCGTGTGATTTCACATCTTTTGTCATGATTTCTCTATATTATCTTTCAACATTCTTATTTGTTCTGAAATGTAAATGAAATTAAAATCAACTGATACATTGTATTGTAAATAGAATTCTACGACTAAATTTTGAAATTTATAAAAAAAAACCAAGAATATGTCCATATAGTACATGGATTCCCCACTCCCACTATCATTTTCTATGTTTCAGTTGACCGTAAAATTGTGGTCAAAACTCTAATTTGGCATTAAAATTAGAAAGATCATATCATAGGGAACATGTGTACTAAGTTTCAAGTTGATTGGACTTCAACTTCATCAAAAACTACGTACTTGACCAAAAACTTTAACCTGAAGCAACACAGACAGACAGACGGACGGACGAACAAACAGACACACAGACCAGAAAACATAATGCCCCTACTACTATCATAGGTGGGGCATAAAAACAGTAAACTAGTCATTTTGACAGTACATTCCTAAATTTACAGGCTAAGTATATAGTTTTGCTATCAGCCTTATGTCCAATATATGCTTGCAATTTTATGGAGAAAGAGGCAAATGGATACTGCTTACATTGCTACCGATTGTCACCAAATACTGTGCCATTCATGCCTATGACTGATGTCACATCAGCAGGTATTGGCTAGTTGATTTTAGGTAAAATCACCAATTTCAAATGAATATTTCTTTTTGTAATGAATTTAATGCAATTTTCTATACTTAAATACAAATTTAATGGATCAATTTAGAAATTCAACTCCTGTACTGATATACTTTGAAGTGGAGTCTCCATGTAAATGATGCTTTGACCGAATAGAACGTCTAAATCAGTGATGTTAAAGTAATGCAACCCCACTTCTGAATTGGTTCATTACATGACACTAAGTTTTTTGGTGTCAATAACAAACTTCAATATATACTAATAGACTTAAAGTGTACTTTGTCAAAGTGGTGTTAGACTTATTTTATGTTTACAGAAGACGAATCTTCCCAAACCAAGTTTCAAGCTGGTCCTTGGTGGAAAAGAAAGTTTTACAACAAACAATAAGGTTTAAACTGCATTGGAAGTTTATCTAAGATAGGAATTTAGTAAAACAATATAATTCAATATCTTAATTTGTTCAGTTACAATGATCAAAGGTGTTTTCATTGTTCTTAGATCAACAGTCATATGCCTATTATGTTAGATTGTTTAGGCTAACATATTTAAGTTTTCATATGAATTAGCCTATTATAAGCAATACTAACCTGGTTTCAAATTTCCTATAGTAGACTGTTTTCTCAGGAACTCCAAACATAAATCTTTCCCTAGTCCAAACGATCTCATGTTGGATGAAAAGGTCCTGAAATAACATGATCACTGTGTGATAAAGCAAATGCATAAAAATACAATTCAGCATGTAACTGCCAATTTATGTTTCAAGATTTAAGCAATGTTTTTTAGTTTTCAATCTTGTAATAATTTTTAAATAAATGGAGAATGTGTCCATGGGACACAGATGATGCCCTGCTTGCATATAATGTTATAAAGGGGCATAACTCAAGAACAGTAAAAGTGACGCCACCAAAATTCGAACTTGACCTGTGTTTTGTGGTAATAAGCATTGTGTATAAGTTTCATAACATTTGGTTGAGGCAAACTGAAGTAAGAGAAAGGAAACAAAAAAATCAACAATTTTTCCATAATTATAAAGGGACTCCAGGATGGTACAAGTGAAGCCACCCAAATACAAACTTGATCTGTGTTTTGTGGTAATAAGCATTGTGTATAAGTTTCATACTATTTGGTGGAGGCAAACAGAAAACAATTTTGGGACGTACATACGGACAGACAAGGATAACATTTAATGCCCCCTCCGGTGACGGCAGGGCACAAAAAACCTGAAACACTGGATCACAGGACTTGTCCAGTTATCGTTTTTTGCTCTTTTATTCGTTCAGTTATCTTTGAACTTTGTGTAATAATCAATATATTCATCTTTAAATCAATTGAACTTCCAGCTGTGATCTCAGGAAGTAATCAAGACTACCTTCTCAAGGCTGTGTTATACATATTATTTCCAGTATGACAAAGTACTGTTGATTTGACTAAGAGACAAAACCATTCTAATTAAATGTATTTGTCTGTAGTAAAACACAATTAAACATTGCTTTCTTTTTATTGCAAATTTGTTCTGTTCGACAGGTAGTAATACTCGGCATTATTTTCACATTCAGCTACAACTTCTTAAATAAATATTCACATGCAATGGTTTAGTTGAAAATTTTCATATTTAGCTAGATTTCTGCAAATATAATTACAAGAAGCTTACACAGTGTTTTAAATATTTGAAAATCTTTTTAACAGAAATAGTGAAATGTAACATTTATCCTACATTTTGACCCTGGTATAATTTGGTTCTAAAATAATTTACAGATAATATTTAAGATGCTATTAAAAGGTGATCTACAAAATAGTACTGTGGTCTATTTGACAGCATCATTTATGGTTGTCGTTTCTTTGACATCATTTGAGCAAAATCAGAGAACAAAACAAAACTACTTTCATTTCATTATTTAACTCTAACCAGCCACGAAAGTCAGATAAGTTGTTTTTATAAATAAAAATAAATAGCTGATTATTCAATTGGCAAAGAAGTAAAAATTTACATTTCAACAGATATCATGTGTTGAAAATAAACTGGTTGAACTCAGTGTAGCTCTATAATGAAGTAAAATGATCACATGACTTTAGCATTTCATGGCAGTAAAAATTGATTTTTAATACAAAATAGCTTTTATAAAATTTACATTTGGATTGATCAGTTGCTAGAAAATTATTTCTCCAATGGACTGCTTATCTTGTAAATATTTAGTACAACTACAATTATATTTTTTTCTTTACATATCATTCAAAAACAGATAAAAAAAAACAACTTATGGGAATCTGACTTTGACATTTAACAGGCTTTAATTATCAGTCCAGACAATAAATTGACTGTAAAAATAAGTATTCCCCCTGTTTCTGACAGATATGAATACACAAAAGTAATGATTTCCGATAAAAATGATTAATTGCTGTATTCTAATCAGAATAATTTTCTCGGTTTATTCCCGATTGTCCCACTTTTTAAATTTTTAGAGTTCTGATTGTCCCACATGAAAAGTTCTGATTGTCCCACATTATTTTATGAAGTAAAATGTTCTTAAATAAACAAGGTAGCTATTGTTTGTTTTGCTAAATAAACAAGAATTAATTATTTGATGTTCAAACTATTATTTTATATAGATTTTATAAAAGTATAAAAGTATAAAATATGATTTTTTTTGTAAACCATCTTTTGATTAAATAATATAACATTTGTGAATTATTTAAATATATCAATAATGTTACGTTTATTTATAAAACAAATATCATTACTGTAATTTTGATTACATTTTTTTCTAAAGTTTTTTAAATAAATTTAGAAATAATGCATGCAATATAAAGAAAAATTTAAACTTATTTACACTGTGCACTAAACACGCATTTGTTGACTGAGAGATGTTTCCACAAGTCTTTGCACTTTTACCAGGGAAGACAGATGCCATTTACATTTTATCACTACTGAAGACACCCTTACACCCAAAGTCAGATTCACATAAACCCAACAAAAATTGCTTCATTGGTAACAAAAGCTGCTATCAAGAATTCTGCCAAGTCATCCTTTCCAGGAATCACAATTTTTTTCACTTTACCCAGTGTATTTAGCGTAAAGTGCAGTCAACAGGACTCTTGACCGACTATAAAGGAGAACAAGACAATCATCAACTTATACACAGGACACCAGTTCTTTTTCGGGTACCATATGCATAAATAAAAGACGTATGGTTCCATGCACCAAAAGACCTGGAACATTCGGATTCAACAGCAAATACCACTCCGTTTACGGACCACGTCACAACATACTGGATTGAAAGCAAAATGCACTATGGAACCATTACCAAACCGAAGGATCAATGACGACAAACCACCTCGAAGGATGGCACAGTAACTTGAACATGGTGATCTAAGAACCACACCCAAACATATACACGCTTAAAGAAGAGAAGGCAGCAAACGAAGTGACCATCATTCAGTACCTAGGCGGGATAGTACGATCAAAAAAGAGAAGAAAATGCAGGTACAACTCAATCAACGCAACATAAGAACTCAAAGATTATCTTCAGAGTGGCGAAGTTAGTGTTTGTCAGTATGTTAACACGTTGCCTCTCATTTGCTACACTTGGACTAAATTTGTTGCAATTGTATGATGTGTTGTGTTGTGATGTTTATGTTATGTATTGTGTTGTGATGTTTATGTTATGTATTGTGTGTGCTTTATTGTTGTACTTATGTATTATGCGTGCTTTATTGTTGAACTTATGAATTAAGCTGTTTATTATTTGGGCTTTCTTGTATTCAGCTGTTTATCATGTGTGCTGAATTGCAACTCTTTAGTACACATTAATGGAGAATTGAGTAGTGCTTGATATGTGACATTTTTTGACTTAATATTATATTATATGTTTGATGATACTTCAATTGTACCTATTCTTTGCAAAAAAAAAATGTAAGTATTCATGATTATTTGTTCATCTTTATTTCATATTTTATAATACACTGATTATTTACCTGTAACTATACCTGCTACGCACTATAAAAACAAATTAATCACTATCAAAACAATTCCCGATTGTCCCACATTTAAGCTTCCCAATTGTCCCACAAACATATTCCCGATTGTCCCACAAAATTTCATTACTTTTTTACCTGTAATTTCAAAAAGTGGGACAATCGGGAAGACACCATTTTCTCACCTTAATTTATTTTATTTTTCTCAAATTCATGTTTAGTATATTTTAGTGATTGCTTTTTGTAAATAAATGATTAAAATATCAATAAAGTTTTTTGTAAAATGCAAAATGAAACCAAAAATGTATTTCCATGTCAATGAAGTCTTGAGTAGGTCACGCCCGTATGAAAATTTCAACAGGAGTTCAACTGGACTCCAGCTGGACTTGAGACGTATTCCAGTCTGACTTTGAAAAGTCCAGTCTGACATGAGCCGTACACGTACTTTTTCTTATACTTGGGTTATTTGCCAGCCGGTATTTTCTTAAAAGTCCAACAGCACTTTTTGTAATACTGACAAGAAAATAAACACGGCTGGACTTTTGAGGAAATTTATTCCTTTCTGTAAAATGATCAGCAGGATTTTTGTCTTAGAAAATTTAACATTCATTTATGAGCAGGAATTTAGACTTAGAAAATTCTTTAACATCAATTAGAAACTTGAGCCATATAACAGTGATTAAATAGCAGTTAGTCTTGTAGAAATGTGCCATCTGTTTTCAATTAACCTCAGTCTGGACAGGTCACAGAAAGTACTATCTCCACAGAGATTGAGGCCATATGTAGGAGAACACATTTCGAAATACATATTTCTGCAATTACTATCACTTTTATTAAAAATTTCATAATTAAACAAATTAATAATTGATTTTCTTTTCTTAATCTATCACATATTCAAAATTAAGGCACATGCAATTAGTCATAAGAGGAACATTTAAAACAACTCCTTAAACAACCTCATGTATTGCAAAACAACACAATTTGATTTTGGAATAAACAGGAAGATGTGTCTTCTTTCTTGAACAAAATGAGAATTTTACATAATTGTGTATAAAGCAAATGTTTGGAAGTAGTTCTTTTCACATTAAATAGAGAAGATGGATCCTTCTGACTGGCATCAATGACAAAATTATTTAGGAAGATTGCTGTTTGCATGTGTTTTGGATTGCATATTCTGGTAAGTACAATAAATTGAATTCCACCATTTTGGTGGTATTTATAATCTGATATGCTCTTTTTATTCAAAATATAAATAGAATAATTACAATATTATAAATAGCTTAATTAATTCTTATTTTTGAAGAGTAAAAAGAATAAAAAACCTACATCAAATATTTATATTCATGCAATAATTTTCATCTTGTCTGTTATGTCACTGTCACTTCCTGTTTTGAATTGTTATCAGGTTATGTAAAAAAATGTATTGTTATATTTTTTATTCCCTCTGTATTAAGGAATGGTTATTATTTGAGTTGTTATGTAAGTTTTTTAATTTCTACACTTTCAGTGATTTTCAAAGCCAACTTTATTTTATTTTTAGCCACTTTAAAATTATTTAGGCTATTATAACCACAAATTATTAGAAGCTAGCATTTAGCTTCTCCGTTCCCCATTACTTGGTTTTGCCAGTAAGACAGTACAAAAGAAATAACCAGTATAAATGCATAATGTCATCTGTTGTTTTTGTATTTTCAGATTATAGCAAGGGATGCATGATGCAAATTAAATCAGAAGAACCAACCATCTGAAGAAAAACTGAGCAGTGGCGGATCCAGGGGGAGGGTTCCGGGGGTTGGACCCCCCCCCCCCCCCTTTTATCCTGAGTTAGGAACCCCCCTTTTGAAAATGGCAGGATTTGCCCCTGCTGAGATCATCTTTAAAAGTCAAACCGCACTTTTTGAAGTCCAGCTGGACTTTTTAAAGTTCAGCCGTACTTTGTAAAGTCCGGCTGAACTTTATAGAGTCCATATTTTTGCCATAAATGCCGGCTGGATTTTTATTCAGACGTACTTTTATTAAAGTCCAGCTGGACTTCATGAACCGGACTCCTGCTAATTTAAATATTTCGAGCCGGTTTACGGCTAATTTCGCTGAAAGTCCAGCCGGGGTATCTATTATAAGCAATTCAAAGAAAAGTCCAAATGAATATTATAAGTACGGTTCTCAGTACGGCTACAGTACGGCTACTGTCCGGCTGGAGTACGTGTCATGTTTTTCATACGGGTGGTTTGATGAAGAATATTAAAGAACCTGAAATTTATGGTTTGTTAGATAAAACAAACACTAAAGAACTGCAAGGATATAATGTACATCTGTACATGTATTACAACAACTGCATGATTTTACTTACAATTACTTTTTATTCCCCCGCCGCTAGGGGAAACAGAGATCCAGTTGAATTTGGGTGGTGTTACTTTCACGTTCAATTTTAGCTCCTTTATACATGGAAAAATTGCTAAGTTTGCTGTATATTTACAAGCGGGGGCATCCGTGTTCCATAGAAATATTCTTCTTTTATTTAAAATAAAATAAAGAATAAAGGGTAAACAGAAAGTTTAGATGACTTTTCTGAAGAACTATTTAACAATTATCATATCATACCCTAACTGTCCAAATGTAATGTTTTCTTGGAATCGTCTGTCATCCTTTTGGTCATCTCTTGCATCATTCCTTTAATTAGAAACAAAAGTATTGTGAATGTATAACTGTGAATGAAGCTCTCTGTACAAAAAAAAAAAATTCATCACAGTGTGAGTACATGTATTTGCATTACTTAATTAGAATGCTTGAGCCTCCTCCTGGTTGGTTATAAAATTGGCTTTTGCAAAACATTTATGATTTGAAAATATTATCACATAGAAAATGAAGATTTTTTTAGAAAAACTTTCCCGATTTGTTACTGTGTAAATATGTTCAGTAGTGGAGGCTATTTTCAACTACTACTGGGTCTGGTAAGGAAATCTTGAAAGCAATACTCTTGGCAATACTTGTTCAAACAAGTTAGATAAGTTTCACTGTTATTGCATATTACAGAAAATCTTGTTTTAACTAGACCTTTTTGAAAGAGACAGTTCAGTTCAGATAATAAAGTGTTGAATTTTTGAAAAAAAAAGAAGATTACTGAAGAATATTCTGTTTTTTTCTCTCTCAAAAATTCAGTTTATACAGGAAGTAGTTTTGACAGGTTTCACTTTACATTATTGTACCTTGTTGTCATTGGTCGCCTTGCTCTCTCACACTGAACAGCATCAAAGTAAGCAGCATTCCAGAACCGTAATGATTGCCAGATAGGCTGGTCACAAAGGAAATTATACAGGAAATTCTTCTCAACACTCTTACCACAAGGTACTAATTAGAAACAAATATCAATTGCTTTATTATCATTATTTCAAATATATTTAAAAGCACATCTTAATTGAAATAAACAGAGATGTGGGGTATTTGTCAGCGACAGCAATTATAACCCAGCAACACAAGAAAACTTTCATAAATTGTCATTGATCAACTGTACTATAAGTAAAAATAATAAAATTAACTGGAAATGACCATCGTTTACAATTTTCAAAAGAAATGATTCCACTATCTTTCCATTTTCAAAAATTTACCAAAATAAGAAATAACATATCAGAATGCTTTGAAAATATTAAATTTTTACAGGACCAATTTGATATATAAACAGATACATTTGGTTTGTTACTAATTATTTCAAATCTTTTTGTGGTACTTACTTTGACTATAAAATGTAAAACACATATTCATTAATGATTTAGCAGGAGAGAAATCTTCAGCCTCATTACATTCAAATAGCACCACTGCAAAATATTGTACAAGGCGGAAGAATATCTGTTCGGTAACCATCTTACTGTGTACTCTCTAAAAAATATAGACAACATTAATAACTAAACAACTATGAAATTCTTTATAGCATCATAATGGAGGAATAGCTGTTCTGTAACCATCTTACTGTGTACTCTCTAAAAAATATAAACAATATTTATAACTAAACAATTATGAAATTCTTTATAGCATCATAATGGAGGAATAGCTGTTCTGTAACCATCTTACTGTGTACTCTCTAAAAAATATAAACAATATTTATAACTAAACAATTATGAAATTCTTTATAGCTTCATAATGGATGAATAGCTGTTCTGTAACCATCTTTGTGTGTTCTCTGAAAAAAAACCACCTAAATTTACACTAAATGCATGTGAAATACTTTATTATATGGAAAAAATATCTCTTCTGCTACCATGTGTACCATGTGTAATATCTGTAAAAGATAAATGTTTACCATAAAAGATTAGAACTAATCAGTTCCTTTACCATAACAGCAAAAAATGAAATTTTTTTTATTAGTTTGAGAAATGGCTGTTATTTTACAATACCATTGACTGTACTGTACAAAATTCAAGAAAATGCTACTTTTATCATAAAAAGACCCCTGTAAAATACTGTAGAAATGGCAACAATAGCATTCACCATCTTATTGTGTATTATGAATACTGTAAATTAAAAAATGTTTGCATACTTTTATAATTGTCAATATATTGGCTTTCAAATATTCAGCTTTCAGCATTCCTGATGGAGGAAATTCCAGAAAAGCACTCCAGACTTGTTGTTTTCGTTTATTATTCTAATTGGCCTTAAAAGTGAGACTATTTATTAAATTTTTAGGAAAAGTTGCATACAAATAATACTACCAAACTTGAAATGCATTTTTTAAAACTTTTGATAGCATTAAAAAAACCTATCCTGACTCAATAAAACATCACAAAAATTTCTGAATTTACTGTTTATTTTCATTCTCTCATGAAACATTTATTTTGTTTTAAATGGTTAATGACTTTTATGTTTTATCAGTAAATTGCAGTCTAATTTCTTAATCTTTATTTTATTCAAAGTGACACAAAATTGATTTTTATTCTATTTATCTCCTGGAACATCCACTTTAGCCCAAATGCTTCCTCCTTAAAGTAATGAAAAGCTGACTTAATTACAGAGCATGCTCATTTTGATCTGAGGTTGTCATAGAAATATCCCTATCTATCTTTTGATTGGTCAATAGTGTATGTTTAACCTACATGTCATATAACACTATCTATTATACCTAATTACCACAAATTTATAGCAATATTATCTCCATGCTGGTCAAAACCGTCATCAAGTCCAGTATAATTTAGCCATTTATGGTCATTTAGCATGGTTATATTTCAAATTTTATCTGATAGGCAATCAAGAGTTATATATGCAGCACATAATGGAAGTTACAATATAAAAGAGAAACCTATTAAAGCACAACATGAAACTAAAGTGTTCAGACATGTCATAGGCTAATTTCATTTTTGCTTTTTCTAATTCTTCATGCATTTAAACTGGTTCTGACCAATGGGATATATATTTGATGAAGCAAAAGTTGATCAAATTATCGCTTGTGATTTCCAACCAAGACTAGTCACAATACTATACATTAGAGGTTTTCATTAAATCATGAAAGGAGCCGATTCCATCTCAGTACTTTGTTAATTATAATATTTATCCACTCTCAATAATCACATTTAAAATTTTTATAATGCTCAGCACACACTATATGTTAAATTGGAAAACTCAACTACCTCAAGCAGATGCATATAGTATGGTGGTAGAATCTATATTGAAAAGATTTCTCTTATTTTGTTAACACTGTCATTTTATCAAACCATCTTGTTTTCTTTTAGCAATAGCTGAAATCATACTACTACAAGGTGTTTAAAATCCTACCCTTACATTCCTAAACATTCCTCTCTAAGCATTTTTGAAGATGGCAAATCCAGAAGATTGCTCCCAGAGTAATAATGATAAATTTCCTCAGGGATTTAAAACTTCATCTATCCCGTCTATTCATTTATAACTTAAAATGAAGCCTGGTCATGAAACACTTAGCTTTATGAAAATTTTGTGAAGATACTGTCTGATTTGCTAAGTAATTATACATAATGATTTTGTAACTCTGAAGACTAAGTATATACATATAACCTTATATACTGGTTGGCTACAATAAATTAGCCATTTTCTCAGAATTGTGAATCTGGTGTCTGGTGCAACCATCACAACATTATGACATTTCAATAATATAGATCTGTCGACTAATGGATTTACCGGTATGTACTTCACACACTTTGGTAAATGTCAATTACTCAGTGATTTGAGAAATAAATCCTAAAATTCTAAATAATCTTGACTCCCTTGGCAATACTAGTAGTCTTTTGACAGAGTGAGAATTCTAAATGTTAATCATATCATTTCTCACAATACAATTTTTTTGGCCTGCAGCAATCTATTTATAATTCAAGCTTCATTAGATTCGATCTGCGAGAAATGTATATTTGGTTTGTGCCGATGATCAACTAATGTTTCTGTAACACTGATCAAGTTCGTCCATTTATATATTTCTATATTATCTATATTCCATTATTTGTATAATCAATCAAATGCTGTTTAGTTGCATGTAAAATATTGCTCCATCAAGCTTAATCCAAATTCTATGAAATAAATGGCATTCAGTAGGAGTGAAGCTGATGAATAACTTGGCTTTTCCAAAACATATGACATATACAGAGCCTGTGTGTTGATTGACTTCCAAATCTCAATGGCTTCTCAAACACGACATTTTCATTTATATGAAAAAGTACATATTTATTACTTTATATAATTGTCTTAAACAAGGGAAGGAAGAGTTTTGACGAGTTTTTAAAATTGTTTTAAAAATACAATAAATATTAATAGAAATTTTTTTTCAGTTGCATAACTACCTTTAACTATTTCTCAAAAACTAAATATTCCCTGCACTCAAATGATTTTGGTTGAAATTGTTTTTTATGTGACCTTTCTTCTTATTTGATTTCACATCTCACTTGGGCTTTTTATATTTTTTAATCACATTTGAATTTTGTTATGGGAGATAACTCTTCCTGTATTGTAAATTCAATTTCAGGCAACCACAAACTGTTATAAATGATATTCCCAGAAGTTCTGATATTTGTAAAAATTTGAAGAACAAAAGTAAGATATTAAATGATTTATTTTTTATAACAGAAACATATAATACTGTTGCAATTTTTGCATTAACTAGAAAGACATCGAAGTTATCTAAAAAATATCAAGTTTAACTTAGGGGCCTAAGTAGTTACTACTGTAATCACTAGCCAGTCAACACTGAGGTTGTGAGTTCGAACCCCGCTCGTGTGGGTGCACTCGACTCCAATCTTAATTGACTAGGATTGTCAGTTTTCCTATCGAAGGTCTGTGGTTTTCTCCGGGCACTCCGGCTTCCTCCACCAATAAAAACTGGCCGCCACGAAATAGCCCAAAAGCGGTGTTTAAAAGTGGCGTTAAAACACCAAAAATCAAATCAATCAAATCAAGTTTAACTTTGTACCAATCTTATGTAGTTAAAATGCCATATGTAAATTACCTGTGAATTGACATATCTTGCAAACCACAATCTTCCTGGAGAATACTGAAACATATGCATAAATATTTAAAATTAGAAAACTTCTTTTGCTAAAATTAATTATTTTAGATATCAAATTTATTTTTGTATATATAACATTTGAGGTATCAATTTTACCGCACCAGATATGCATTTCAACAACTAATGCCTCTCCAAGCAGTGATGCTTCAGGCATAAACAGTACTTAAGTGTACATTAGATATAGGTTGATATATAATATTGATTGATCTTATGTTGTGGAGCAATTGTAACATTAACCAGAGAAATATTATAACATAGAAATTTTCATGCAATAGCCCAGTCTTGTATTTTCTATAGTAAACTGTTATATCATTATGCAGATATATACAGTAAGGTATCAGTGGCTAAGTCAAATTTTAGGAGCTAAGGGCTACTGGGCACCTACTTAGTTCATCCCTAATCATTCTATCAGTTTTAAGGTTATATTCTGGAAACTAAATTGGGTTTCTTGATGAACTTGCTCTTTTGGTTTTTCTTATAAACTGTTTCTCAGTATTAACCATCATTATGATTAGTATTGCTCTAATACTTCAATCGCTCATATGCTTAAAATGATACACATAAAATAGTTTACAGTACAACATAATCAATAGCAGATATTTTTCCATCCATAACTGTAAACTACTTACTGTAACACATCTCATGATCGATAGATGAAATCAAAAGTTTAATCAAAAGAATTATTAAATAGATCAAGTTTAATATAGTCTTATATGACTATATTCAGCACATATGAAGTTAAAACTTTACATACAACAGTAGTATCATAGAAGACTATGTACCATTAACACAAATTCACAATGGCCTTGAATGACCAAAACCACCAATAATTTGAACATTCTTATCTGGTGCAATTAAATAAGACTTATCAAGGTTTCTGTAAATACTTTTAGTTTAACAACGATTGATTTATTGCAACATGTTACAGGTATTAATATTACATTGTTTAGATTCTTGTAAAAATACTGTTTTTAACAATGCAATTTCTCACAATGTTTTATGGTCTGCAAAAAAATTATCTAACACACAATAATTACCTGACATAATTCACCAAACTATTAACTTACACATGTGTATTAACATAATAATTACCTGACATAATTCACCAAACTATTAACTTACACATGTGTATTACACAAAAATTACCTGACATAATTCACCAAACTTTGCCTTTTCTGTCTGTGTTATTTCTTTACTGTAATGGAAAAGTTAGCATGATTAATAAAAAGAAATACAGAGTATATGTTAAATTAATGAGACAGCAACCAAACAATACAAACAAATAAAAACCAACATGTGGCCTTCAACAATGGGCAAGTATTTATGCAATATGGAAAGCTTATCATTCTAGGTCTACAAAAGTGGTTAATTCAGTTAAATGTTTTCATTTTAAATACATCATGTTCCAATTTTTGCTACAACCATCCATATATTTCTAAAATAAACTCAAGACTTATTCTCTAATAAGACCAGCTACAATTTTGAGTAAACACAGGAATTTGAGTTTGTTAATTCTCCTTTATAACTAAAATCATTAATTAAATTTTTTAAAGTGTTTTTGAAAGTCTAAATTTTGTGATGACAGACTGGTTTAATAGATACTCATTATATTTTTACAAATTAAAGTAGAAAATTATATCCTTAACCACTGTTCCTCAATTTAGAGATTCAATAAGTCAATTTCAAAACTTAAAAAATATATCATCAAAAATGACGTTTGGAATCAAATCTATACCATTGGTTCAAATAACCTATCTATGCAAAAGATGAAGACTAAAACATATAAGGGATTCAGCCACTATCTCTCCGGTGTCATTACCATACCGCGTTATTCAAACGATTTCTTCAATATTTAGTTCTTTGTAATCATAGCTTAACTCAGCTGCTCATAGAAGTGTTACGTGATATCTTTCAACAATATCAAAGAACATATTTTGCTAATAAAATCAATGTTTCAGATGTCTTTTCATTTACAGAAGAATGTGTATAAGAGGTTTTAATGGTTCCATTTTAGTTCATTATTCTCTAATAAAGAGTTACAGAATAGGATAGCCTGATAAATCTCTTCTATCTGAGAGAAAACCATCTTTTTAGACTGGTTTTGAAACTAGTTGAGTTGACACAAAATATGCTACTTAACGTGTACTGGCAAAATTCCAAGATTGGTTATTTAACTTACAATATTTGTACAATAGATAAAGGAAATTCAAACACTGTATTTGAATATCAAATTAAAAGAGCTGCATACTGAAAATCCCCTCTGTATAAGCAGGGACAATGAAAATCCCCTCTGTATAAGCAGGGACAATGAAAATGCCCTCTGTATAAGCAGGGACAATGAAAATGCCCTCTGTATAAGCAGTGACAATGAAAATCCCCTCTGTATAAGCAGGGACAATGAAAATCCCCTCTGTATAAGCAGGGACAATGAAAATCTCCTCTGTATAAGCAGGGACAATGAAAATCCCCTCTGTATAAGCAGTGACAATGAAAATCCCCTCTGTATAAGCAGGGACAATGAAAATGCCCTCTGTATAAGCAGGGACAATGAAAATGCCCTCTGTATAAGCAGGGACAATGAAAATCCCCTCTGTATAAGCAGTGACAATGAAAATCCCCTCTGTATAAGCAGGGACAATGAAAATGCCCTCTGTATAAGCAGGGACAATGAAAATGCCCTCTGTATAAGCAGGGACAATGAAAATCCCCTCTGTATAAGCAGGGACAATGAAAATCCCCTCTGTATAAGCAGGGACAACACAGCAAGAGTGTAAAGAGCAAGTAAAATTTGTATGAAATGATCCATGTCTAAGTGCAGGTATTCCACACCAAAAAAAAAACTAAACGGAAAAAAACACAAACCCTCATTATCTGTAAAATTCCTTAATACAAGAACGTACAAACTAAACCAATTATCTGTAGATAACCAGGACTAAAAGAAAATGTGTTTGGTAGGAATAAATGACAGAAGAAAATTAGAAAACAAATGATGGTCAACAAAAGAAAATATTATCATTGTTTTTTAGCTATATTAAAACTATTTTCTGGTAGATGGATAGTGGTTTTGATGCATTATAAGAAAAATTACTGTAGGTTGCACTTTGTAACTACAGCTGTTTCACAAACCACACCTCTTTTGGGGAGATATTTTATTTTGTTAACCTGCTGTTTCAAGATATGATCTCTATGTTTCATTTCATAGAGACACAACTTTATTAGAATAAATACATGGATAGTGGCCAAATTGAATTCTGAGGAAAATCCAAAGTGAAGGAATGGATAGTACAGAATTTTAGTATAAGTTTGAACTCTTTGAAGTTCAGGAGGCATATAAATGTTGAAAATATGCTGCACAGTCCTATATTTTGACCTTTGAAAAATATAGTAGTGCATATGAACTTTTAATTCTAGGATATAATTTTGTACTAAACTTGGTGGCACAGTTTTAGCTGTAAAAGGATTTCCTATGGAAAATTGCATTGTCTATATTTACAGAAATGCTTCTTAAAGACTTAAAATATTTAGTATAAACATGATAGCTAACTTGAAATAATTGGCTGTTTAGTTTGTTTGTTTGTTGTTGTCGCAACTATCAGAAACTTTGGCTATATCATAGCTGCCACAGCAATTTTTATTGATGCACTGCAACCATACCGCAAATATTTTCTTTTGATTCACTTTAATAATTAAACAAGCTCTTAGTATCTTTATCTTGAATTATTGATTACCCTGAAAGAACATTTATAACATACTATGCATTTTACAAGGAAGTGTAAAGATTGAGACTCTATCTCTCAAGGCATTTACATGATAACAGGCTGTAAACATTTATTTACTTTATTCTCCACATTAACTGACATTTCACTTAATCAATAACTCGAAAATATCTTCAAATAAACTTTAAGATTCCACAGAAAATTTATCACCAATTATGGAGTCAAGATTTACCAGCAGGATACTAAATTTTAAGCCTGTAACTGATAATTAAAATTTACAGGAACTTCGGGGATGCAATCAATTTTCAGAAGATGATAAAGTCACTAGAATTTTTGTCTTAAGCCTTATTTTATTCTACAATTTTTCTATTTTAAGAATAAAATTAAATGGCCAATTGATATCATGGCTGTAAAATTTTGAAATTCTGTCATTTTAGAGTCAAAATATTCTCATATTGAGAAATTAGAGGCAACAGTAGATAACCTATGTCGTAAACCTCAAAATCTATTCTGATATATACAAATCAATCAAATAAAAACAACTGAGGGAATCACATGAACTCCAAAACAAGAGACTGCGTGCATCACCAGGGTTAGTATCTTCTTCTATAAATGCATAATCAGCCATGCGAATCCACACTCAATGTGATACAATAAGGAATCGGACAAATTTTGAAAGCCTAAGAACAGTTTTATTTTATTTTCAGAACTTCGTTGTAAGTCACCTGCGTCATCATTATAACTGATTATTTGTAATTTCTTCAATAAATATCTTATAATCATACTACTTTTCAAGAATTAGATGCAAAAACTATTATATCTTCCACATACAACAGGCAGCTGCCTCACTGCCCTAGTAGTGTATCTTCCCCATATAAGGAAAATTCAAAACGGAAGGTCCTTTATAATGAAATGGCAAAATCAAAAACTCAAACACATCAAACTGCTGGAAAACAACTGTCATATTCCTGACTTGGAACAGGCATTTCCTTATGTTTGGTGGCTTAAACCTGGTTTTATAGCTAGCTAAACCTCTCACTTGTATGATAGTCACTTAGAATTCCATGATATTGACAAGGCAGCTGCCTCACTGCCAGAGTAATGTATTTTCCCTATACAACAGCCAGCTGCTTCACTGACAGAGTAATGTATCTTCCCTATACAACAGCCAGCTGCCTCAATTTCAGAGTAGTCTATGTAGCTGGCTGACATCTTATCTGAACAGAAAACAGAACTCCAGTTTATAATATCAACAGTAGGTGTTTGGGTCATCTGCTTCCTTCATTGTTTTCAAAAATGGCAAGGCGCTCAGTATGAATATGGCATATTTTGCCAATTACTTGATGGAAATCCAGTTCACCCCATACACATAAAAAAAACTGACTACCATGGATTAGCAGAAATGTAAAAATCTTACACTGGACCTACTACAATAAACATACATACAAACAAAGTTTATATTTAGTCTGAGCATCCAACATGGATATAACTATCTGTCTTGGTAGGCCCTAAGCTTATATGATGATTGTTAAACATATACAGATATTCATCCCCATCTATCTACAGCCTCATTTCAAAAACTTTTGATTAATTATCATTTTCTGCTATATCTAAGCCCAGCACAGTGTATGCAATATAATTTTAACAGTTGTTCTTAGATTCTGACTTTTTATTTCAACACAAGAAAATGTCACTAATTCAATATATATTTAGGTTTTTATGTTCTTGTAATCAATTGCTTCAATTTACTTTAAATCTCCAATGACAACATATATTGAAAAATAACATAAAATATTATGCAATCGTTCAAAACATTTCACCCTTCAATTAATTCAATATCTATCTAAATCTCACATCCTCAAAATCATCCAAAATTTCGATGAGAAAATTTTGAATGATTGACTTAAAAATAAGACCCTTGCTCTCAAAATACCAAAAAAAAAATCATTTCAATTATAAGGATTTATTGAAATGTTGAAAGAAATTTCCCACATGCTATTTTAATGAGTAAAAACTTTGAATTGCATTAATTCCAAAACAGAAAACTTTCCTGCACTTAGGAAATTGGAGAAATTAAAAATTATATCCATTCATCAAGACCAGTCTATATCTGAAATTTGCTACTTAAAATTCCATTTTTTTTTAAACAATCCATTTGAAATGTAATAGATTTAGTCAAGTGTTAAGCCTTTAGAACCTTCTTTAAATTTCACAATGGATACAACTAAATTAAAACATGACAGTTTAAATGGGTTAGTTGTAGAACCTTTTTTTCCGATTCAGAACTTTGAAATAAAACTAAAATGCAGCCTGATAAAACACTCAAACTTTTCCAAATAGATGCAAATAAAGCTGTAAAGTATACAAATATGCTTCATCCTTTTAATTGAAGCTTAATGATGGGAAAAAATGTCAAAACATTTTTAGTCATGAAGCACTTATTATCTAGAAGCAACTGGGATTGGAGAATGTCTGTAGT